CCGAACATTTGGGGTACCGTTATATCGGGACTTCCAGAAAAAGTGGACCTATACTTAAAATTTTTATTGGAGAAATGTGGTACCAAATAAGAACCCAAAGTACGTAAAACGCGCTCAAGAACCCCAAAATACCGAAAATTGGGGGTACCCTTATATGGAAGCTATGCTTAAACGTGGACCGATATAGCCCACCCAGGACCATAACGAATTTGACTTGCATGCAGACAAAAGACTCTGTGGCTATCTATCTCAATTCGTTTAGACGCTAGAGTGATTACAATTGACAGACGGACATGCTTAGATCGTCATAGAATTTTAAGCTGATCAAGAATATATATACCTTATAGGATCGGAAATTACCGATCATACCGAGATATTTTGTAAATATTTTGAAATTTGTCAGGTCTCAAATTACAAGGATTCGTAAAAATATTTAGACTTGCTTATAACTAGGGCCTGATCATACTTACCCCAACGCCATAATCCGTGGTTACAAATAAAACAATATTGCACTTAGAATGTATTTGTTACATTTATTATTAGTTTTGTGTGTGTTTTATTATTTTTTATTTCAATTATTATGTATTTTTTGCTTTTTGAAATTTGTTTTTTTCTGTTCATAATGTTTAAAAGTTATTACATCATAATTTATTTAACACTCGTTTTTTTATAATTTAATTTCATAGTTTTTTTTATAATATAAATAATTAAATAAATTAATTTATTTCCGGATTCTTTTTGTAGATCATGGATGTGTTTTTTTATTTTTCTTTGTTTTTGTTTGAATATTTTTATTCCATCTGTTTCCGAATGGAGGAGCGTTTGCATTTTTGTTATTTTTAGATTATTTTTATGCAATCGATACTTTTTTATGGTCATGTGGTTATGTTAATATTTACAATTGGTAATTACAGATGGGCAACAAAATTAATGAGTAGTTCATGGTTGATATTTCACGTTAGGTATCTACTTAAATATTATATTCATATGTTTAACTATGTGTGTATGGTGGTTTTAAATGCAAGCACATATATATGTATGTAAGTATGTGTAACTGTTTGTTATATACGAAAAATAATTATATTGGCATTCAATGGCATCGAGGAAATGTTTGTAGCAAATGGACGAAAAAAATTCAAATGCAGAATTTTTGACATCACTGAACACTCATATTTTTTGCTAGTCCTCAACCGAACCTCATTTTTAACATCTGTTCCGAAAATTGTCCAAAAAGATAAAAGTTTACTACGATTCATAACTAAAATGTTAATATAGTTTTTTCCGAAGGCGATTTTCCGACTTCTAAACCTTCGTCGGCGAAATTTTCGACTCCGTATCTCTGTTTTGTTCTTCGCATATTTCAAATTATGCAAGACAGTAGCAATGTTTCGATTTCAATTATTTTATTTCAATAAATGTATATGAAATTCTCAAAAAATATTCAAATATTTTATTTATTGTTAAAAATCCGACCTTCGCAGCGATGGCCTTTACATAAACCATCTTCATGTTAGTGGTTGTTATTATTGTTTTTATGCACTTTAAATAATTAATGATGTAAATATTAATGGCGTAAATTAATTGATAGTATTTGAGTGTGTTGAACACCAAAGTGCGTAAAAAATGTGTAAAATAAATCATGCGATTTGTAGCGCCATAATTTATGTTAATGACAGTAAACATGAAATATATCCGCGAGAATACATGTGTAAATTCAGCACGTGGTTGTGATGCCTTACAAATTAATTTATGTTTGTTTGGCGTAAAATATGAAATGTTCTATTTTACAATGTTCTGTTTTGCCTGAAACTTATATCCAAAAATTGTATCTATTGTGCCTAAACGAATTTGCAATACGAAACTAGAATAAATTGAACAAAAAAAGATGGCAGGTATTGGTTGCAATGATCGATTTATTTTTGTAGGTTTTTCTAGTCGCTCTAGAGGCCCCAATTAGGACCCGAACATGATTTTTAAAATATCTACAGGAGTCTAACAATTCTGATATTGTCAATATTATTAAGAAATTTTGCATGTTCTGCGTGAACTTCAAGATTGACACCTATGGTTTAATTCCAAAAAAGGCTCTACTATGAATGCTGACTTCTTGTCCGGATCTACTTCCAGAAAATTATTATCCAAAATAAACAACTACTTCACAAGTTTCTTATTCTACCTATTAGAGTATTGTTTCATGTCATCAGACACACAATTCGAATATTCTTTAATTATTTATTATTATTCTTTGAGGATACGGGGACTGAGTTTAGGCTTAGAATCAAAGTGTGTCAGTTTCAGTTCAGATTTAGATGGATTCTGATCGACAGAAAAATTGCACATCCTACAAAATGAAGTCTAGATGAACGGTGTATATTTAGCTCTTTAATTTTCTATTAACGATGCACTCATGTCTGTTCGATCAATACGAAATACTGAGCTTGTAATTGATTCTACTTAGACTTACAGATCCCACGGTTAACAAGAGAATATTTTCAATATACCCAAATATAACTATATACTAATTTTCGTACCATTTAGTGCCTTTCATACTCTTGTAGTACATATTTCTAAAACTATTCCAAATTTCATGATTCGAATTTTATATGGTCACCCAAATCTTAATTTTACCAAATTTAGTACCTTTTAGTAGACATTAATAAAAATTCATAGAATTCATATTTTCCTGATCTCTTCATCCAAATATAATTATACCAATCTAGAACACATTAGTATGAATTCCCAAATCTTCTTACATAGCTCAATCATACACCCCAACATTAATGATAACTCCAAATTTCAGGAGTCCAGCTCTATCGGTTCACCCAAAATTCAAATTGTACCAAATTTAGTACCATTTAGTACCCATAAGGATGAATTTCCAAAATACACTCCACAGTAATCATATTCCATATCCAGATTGTATTATTTTTAGTACGATTTAGTACTTTTCATACACATAAGTAAAAAATTTCCAAATTCAAATTATACCACATTTGATACAGTTTAGTACCTTTCGTATACATGTGTACACGTTTTCAAAACCACCTCCTTATATCAACCCTACATCCCAACCTTGATTCGCATTCTAAATTTCAAGTTTTTAGCACTAAATTTTAGTACGTTTCTCATACTTCTCATATAGTTTAATTTTCCAAATAAATCTCTTTAGTACATCTATCCGGCAATCCATCTGATTTCAAATTCTTCATACGTAGTACTTTTTATGACATTTCGTGCCGTTCTAATACTAGTGTCCATAAACCCAGCCTTATATGACACCTTCGGACTAAAAGTGAGCCTCACCCAAACTTTCAAGATTCTAGACTCAGCCGTTACGTCTAAGCGTTGATGAATCGTTAAGTCATTTAGTAAGTCAGTATAGATTTGTGACCCATTTATTTTTAGTTAATGACATAGTGAATATATCAAATTATACCCCAAAGTGAATTATACTATTTATACAGGACGATATCGAATCATACAAAAAATATATTGGACTAAATATTGCAATAATATTATTAATATCAATCCAATCAATAAATTTAAGGCAGTTATTAAATTTGTCACTTTGCCAAATGTGACTTTAACTTAATTTGTCAACACTAAATTCCCACAAGTGATTATAGATTTCATTTCATTGAAATAATTGGAACAAGGTTCTCATTGTCATCAACATTTGACAATCTCTTCAACAGGTCAGCGTGGAAATAGTTCACTAAATGTTGCTGACCTTGAATACAGCCATTCTTGATTTTATGTGACAGTACTTTTTGTTTTCCTTTTGTCAATTCGCCAAGCCCATATTCGCGTGTCAGCTCATATATCATTTGCAGTCAAGCAATTAAATATATATATTAGTTTTTTGGGGTTTGCTTTGGTTTCACAAGTTTATATTTTCTCATTAGCATAAATAATGTAGTTTTATTTATGAATATGACAGATTGTATTTTTGTTTTGTTTTTGTTGTTATTTTTCATTATTCATTCTTAAATTAAAGCCGAAACCCTAACGTTGTGGTTGGCGCATTGTAAAAGAAAATATCTACGCTTTGGAATGTTCTCTAGAAATATTACACACACACACACACACACATGCATATGCTTGTGTGTACATTTTTGTGAAATTAATTCCATTTATGAATTTGCAATTTAATTTAAATTTCTATCTGTGGTATTTCAATTATCATTAGAAAGTATATTTCGAAATATTTTCGGAATAACAACAACATGTTTGTCATACAAAAGTTTTAGGGCATTAGTTATTAAAATCCTTACACTTGCACACGCACACCTACATACATACATACTTGCATTTTCATAACTATCCATAATTAATGTTGAATTTCGTTCGTATGATTTCAATTTTAATTTAGTTTTCGTGTTTCTTGATTGGTTGTTGGTTGGGTCGGTCGGTCGGTTGGTTGGTTGGTTGGTTTGTTTTCAATTGTCGTTCAGTTGTTTATTTGCAATGTCACAATGTTTGCCTAGAACTTACTTAGATTGTAATTATAAAAATGCATTCGAACAAATTCTTCGTGTTGTATTTTGTTGTTAGTTTTTGCAAACACACTTAAAACAAACAAATCTTAGATTAAATTTATACCGAAAGTATTTACAAAAGATATTCAACTAAAATGGTATGCGGCAATTTATTTAAATGTAATTAAATGCGAATGTCTGGAACAGGAGCTAAGGACGTTTTTGGAAATGTTATCAGACTGGATCTGTACACGAGTTGATAGTTGGAAGGCGGAAGTGGAAATGGCAATGGAAATAGATGGATACAATAATAAATATAAATATCTCCTGGAGAGAAGTATGGATGGAAGCATGGCATAAAACCAATCAATTTTCAATTAATTGAGTTATAACAAATTATTTTTTGTTTCAATATTTTATTAGGTTGAGTAAATCTATTGTGGACATGTGGTGATTTTTGACACTGCTTGAAGTTTACTAGAAATTTACATATATATTTATTATTTTAGCTTTGTTTGTATGTGTGTGTGAGACAGGGTTTTGCTAACTGTTTAAACAATAGATAAACACTAATTACAATATTTGCTAAATATACATAAATTTTAGTTAGTTTTGTACATACATGACTAGATTTTAATATTAAATCTTAACATTTGTAAATTTCACTTAAATAGGATTTAATTTACTAACACTGCATTCATCTAGAGATGGCTACACGAAAAAGTCTTAAGTAAGAAATATACGCCTGTAATGAAAAAAGGGTAGAAATGATGTTGTATTAATATTTATATATAAATATTTTACCATTACATTTAAGATAAGAAATGTTTATTGTATAAGTGCACAAAGTACACGACTAAAATTATTTGGAAATGTTTTTATACTGTGTTACCTTCATTTAGAATTGAATAACATACTGATTTTATTAACCTCTGTTATGGTATGGTCCTTAATTATAATTTAATATTTTAATATGCGATACGGTTTATTTCAAAACTAGACTAGTGCTTTTGACATTTTACGAGTAATTAACAGACCCTTGTTTTGCCACCTCTTTTTATGCATTAAGTGTTTGCTAGTCTTTTTGCTAGGAAAATTGTACATATCAGAACCTAACTTGTCGTGAAAACCCGACCTTTTGGATGACGTTAATTTTCCGTTGAAAAATGTGTCAAAAATCAGGGTAAATATTTCCCATATTTAATATATATATATATATTTAAGCACCACTTTCATATTGTTCGAGAAACTTTTTTTTTGCACAATACTCCTTGCGAAGTCTTTAAAGTTGTATAACTTTATTTTTATTTTCAACGCTGCCTTCCACCGACTTACGGGTGTTTCGATTTCTAACGAAGCATATTCTGACTTTTAAAATTTCTACATTCCTTTTATAACCTGTTGTTATTGTTTATAAATTTTTGTCGTACTCCGTGTTTTTTATATATTATTTTTTTGTGTTTACTGAACCAATTTTGAATATTAAAAGTGTTAACAGTGCTTAGAATTTATTTCTGTTTTGTCGGTGATAATTGGTCTGATGGCTTGTTTGTGTTAAACAATAAAAATTAATTTATTTCCTACATTCCTTTAGTTGCTTGTTGTAACATTTGTATACCCTCCACCATAGTATGGAGCAGGGACGTACGCAGGGGGGCGGCCCGGGGGGCCCGGGCCCCCCCCCCCAATTGATTTTTTTTCACAGTAAATTTATGTTTGCAACAGCGAATTTTTTCATTTTGTACTACCGGGCCCCCCCCGAAATGAAATCCTGTGTACGTTGCTGGTATGGAGGGTATATTAATTTTGTCATTCCGTGTGTAACTCATCGAAATATTCATTTCCGACCCTTTAAAGTAAATATATTCTTGATCAGGGTAAAATTCTAAGACGATCTTGCCATGTCGGCCCTCTGTCTCTTGTAATCACGCTATCTTCAGAAGGAATTGAGGTAGGGTGGTGAAATTTTGCATAGGTTTATCTTTTGTCTGCAGGAACGTCAAGTTCGAAGATGGGATATATCGGTCCACGTTTAGGCATAGCTCCTACATAACAGTACCCCCCAATTTTCAGTATTTTTGGGTTCTTGAGCGCGTTTTTTCAACCGAATACACTGAAATTTGGTATATTGGGTTCTTGTTGGGCGCTAAATGTCTCCACAAAAAATTATAAATGTAGGTCCACTTTTTCTGGTAGCACCCATATAATCCTACCTCCTAATTTTCAGTATTTTGGGGGTTTTGATCGTATTTTTCCACCGAATTGGCTGTAATTTAGTATTTTGAGTTCTTAATAGGTACCAAATCTCTCCACAAAAAATTATAAATATAGGTCCATTTTTTCGGATAGCCCCATGGGGTTCTTAAGCGCGTTTTTCAACCGAATTCGCAATTTGGTATATTGTAGTCGTATATGGTAGCAAATCTCCCTACCAAAAATTTTTAATATTCGCCCCCGGGTCGTCCCCTTATAACCCCATTTTATACCGTCCCCCATAGTATGGAGGGTATATTAGTTTTGTTTTTCCGTTTTATTTTTCCGCATCGAAATAATCATTTCCGACCCAATAAAGTATATATATTCTTGATCAGCGTAAAATTCTATGACGATCTAAGCATGTCCGTCTGTCTGTTGTAATCACTCTAGCTTCGAAACGAATTGAGATAGAACGCCAAAATTTTGCACAGAGTCTTTTGTCTGCAGGCAGGTCACGTTCGAAGTTGGGCTATATCGGTCCACGTTTAGGCATACCTCCCATATAAGGGTACCCCCAAATTTTCAGTATTTTGGGGTTCTTGAGCGCGTTTTTCAACCAAATTCACTGAAATTTGGTAAAATGGGCTCTTTTTGGATACCAAATTTCTCAACTAAAAATTATAACTTTAGGTCAACTTTTTCTGGTAGCTCCCATATAACGGTACCTCCCAATTTTCAGTTTTGGGGGGTTTTGACCGCATTTTTTCACCGAATTGGCTGTAATTTAGTACTTTGAGTTCTTATTGGGCATCAAATCTCCACAAAAGATTATAAATATAGGTCCATTTTTTCGGGTAGCCCTCATATAAGTGTGTCCCCAATTTTCGATATTTTGGGGTTCTTGAGCGCGTTTTTCAATCGAATTTGCTGCAATTTGGTACTTTGCGTTCTTATTGCGTAGCAAATCTCTCCACAAGAATCTATGAGTATAGGTCCATTTTTTTAGATAGACCCATATAAGGGTACCCCCAATTTTCGATATTTTGGGGTTCTTGAGCGCGTTTTTCAATCGAATTTGCTGCAATTTGGTACTTTGTAGTCGTATCTGGTAACAAATCTCCCTACCAAAAATTTGTAATATTCGCCCCCTTTTTGGGGTAGTCCCCATATAACCCCATTTTTATACCCTTCACCACACTGTGGTACAAGGTGTTATGTCTTTGTGCATATGTTTGTAACAGGTAAAAGGAAACGAGATAGACACATAGAATCACTTTCTGAGTCGATTTATGCATGTCCGTCCGTCTGTAGATGTTAAATTGTAAACAAAGTACAGGTCGCATTTATGATCCGATTTCGATGAAATTTGGCACAAGTCACTTATTTGGCCCAAGGCCGAACCCTATTGAAATTGAGAAAAATCGGTTCAGATTTAGATATAGCTCCCATATATATTTTCGTCCGATTTAAGGTAAATGGTGTACCAAAGCCCCTATATATATTTCGATTTGCACGAAATTTGACATAGCGTGCTGAATTAAGTCTAGAATGATGTGAGCAAAGTTTCATGAAAATCGGTTCAGATTTATATAGCTCCCATATATAGTTTTGTCCGATTTAAGGTAAATGGTGCACCAAAGTCCCTATATATCATTCGATTTGCACGAAATTTGGCATTAGGTATTGAATTGGGCCAAGAATGATGTGTGTTAATTTTCATGCAAATCGCTTCAGATTTAGACATAGCTCCTATATATTTTTTCTTCCGATTTTATGTAAATTGTCCATTAAAAACCCAAACCGATTGCCACGCAATTGTGTACAATGAACTGTAGTTAATATATGTTAACAAGGACAAACTTTCAGTACGTTGCAACGTACTGAAGTTAATAAAAAAACCAGCATGTGGAAAGTTTTGTTGAAATCGGCTCAAATTTGAATGGAGCTACCATATATATTTTCTCCCGATTTTAAGTAAATGATGCTCCAAGAACTCAAAAATGCGGCCGATATGCACATACTGAAATTAGTATAACCTAACCTGTGACAAGTTTCGATGAAATCGGTTTAGATTTCCATAAAGCTTTTGTATATATTTTCCTCCTCATGTTTATCAGATATTTATCCAAATAATCAACGGGTGTCCGATTGATATTTGCTTTAAATTGATTTTCACAATTTTGTGCCCTTGCTAGAACCAACTCTTTATCTGACTAAATTAAAAATTTATTATAGGTTGCAGAATGACATGTTTATGCATCCTATTTCATTTTATTGGTCCTTAAAAAATGCGACGTCTGTTAGGATTCATCTGTTGAATATTCCCATATAGTCGGCCCCGTCCGACTTTACTCCTTTCCTTACTGGTTTCATATTAAAATAGTTATCTGATTTGTTCCGCGTTTTGAGTTTGGTTCTAAGACTCTGTTGTAGTCATTTCACCTGCGGAGGATAGCGAGGTAAAAAATTAGACCTAGTCTCTGTGTGGAATTTCCAGAAGGAGTGGACAGATTTTCCCCATCTTCGAATTTGAACTAAGTTTGGAGAAATAATAAGATGGGCAAAGTTTGGATGAAATCTAAATTTTCTGAAACGGATTTGGTCCAAAGAATCATAGGTTCTAGAAATGTTGGTATAGGTACACTTTTTGGTATGTTCCCTATATTTTTATTTCAAGTACAGCTCAGCATATCTATGGTGGAGGGTATCCAAAGTTCGGCCCGGCCGGACTTAACGCTTTTTCACTTGTTATTGTTTGTTTTTCTTGATTTATAATCAACATTTAGCAGCAATAAACTAATAAAACAAATTTCCGAAAGCTTAATTATTTTGTTTGTAAATTGGACAACTGTAAGAGTCTGTCTGATTGTGAATTTATAATAGACACATTTTATAATACTCTAAATACATTTATTTCAGAATGAGTTCCAACTGTTAGAATTAGAAATATCCGTGGATTTTGCGTGAGTTATCAAGTTAAAAATTTTAAAGACAAACTTTTTTCGAAAATATAAAAAGTCTGGGTCATCTATAGACTACGCTAATTATTCTGTTGCTAGGACCAAATATACCATATATACCTCAACAACATCACATATAATTTTAAAACTAATCCGAAGTCATTTTATAAGTTTGTTAACATCAAAATAAAAGTCTCCTCAAACCCCACAATTTTGAAATGCGACAATAAGGATTTCGTAAAAACCAGAAAATAGCAGAATGTTTTGCAATTTTTTTCGCCTCTACTTATTCATATGCAGTCTGTCCAAATATAATTTCATATCCTTATGAACTATCCAAAATAGATCAAATATGTATGCCTTTAGTACAAAGTCAAGATGTTAAATGTCCAGGTCCAGATGGTATACATAGCTTTATTGTCAATTATTGTTCTGACAGTTTGGCAACGCCAAAATTAAATTTTTGTTATTTTCCTACTATTTGGAATAAATATTGTAGTCTATCAAACGTCTCCAACTATAGAGGAATTGCAAAATTAAATTTCGCCCAAAATTCCATCCATTTTATGTCCATATCAACATGGATTTTGTAGTGGCCTTTCAACTATAACAAATCTTATACAGTTTACTTCAATTGTAATAAAAGGGATTTGCTCAGCGAAATAAAATTGATACCATTTATACAGATTTTAGTAAATCTCTTCATAGGGTTAACTATGAACTCTTATTATATGAATTACATTCAGTATAAACTTAGTTAATTGGATATTGTCTTACTTACAAGATATATCACAGCTAGTTTTGTTTGAAGAACATTTCTCGAAATCGATTAACGTGGATCTTGATATTGTAATGGATCCAAGGTTAAACTTTAACAATAATGTTATTTCTATGGTAAATAAAGCCTATGGTGTATTCGGTTTTATAAAACGGTGGGCCAAAGAATTCTCGGATCCTTTTATAACAAAACAACTATACACGTCTCTTGATAGACCTATAGAGGAATATGGCAATATATTCCGATAAAATCGAATCAGTGCAGAAACAATTTCTAGTTTTTGCATTGAGAGGTTAACATTGGAATAGTGATTTTGTCTTGTCTTCTTACATTAGCAGGTTTAATTTAATTCGATTACCTACATTAAAAAGTAGACGTATTATGTTGAACATAATAATGGTACTAAAAATATTTAATGGGAATATACCCTCAGATTTCCTCATTACATCTATTACAATAAATGTTCCTTTTCGATCTAGTAGATATTATCAACTATTATATGTAGATTTTCATCGTACAAATTATTCTATGGAAAATGCACTCACTAAAATGTGTACTGATTTTAATTCTGTATATTCTTATGTAGATTTTTGCAAGAATGTAGAACTAATTTAATTGTATTTCTAAATTAGTAGTTTAACTTAATAATAAACTGGCTGTTAGTAGATTGCGTAGCTGGTTTCCTATTCCCTCTTCATATTCCATCATGATGGAGATTATGGTGCCTATACCATCGCTACGAAAAGGGAGGTCGCCGCCTCGGTAGGTAGGGGTTGGAAAAATGCGAATAAAACCCAACAACATATTTAAATATCCTTTTTCGTTTCTTCAAACAAAAAGACAGAAGGCAAAATTAAATTTTAATCATAATCATAAAAATCCAATAATGTTGAAAAGTTTCACATCTTCAAAATCGAAACTATAGGCATATCCCAAATGGAATGACATATTACGATTAAGGCTACCAAATATTGCCAAATGTGTAGTATAACACAAAAACTTATGGATATATTATAAAAATTTCACTATAACATTGATTAACTCCGTGTCACAGTTAATAAATGTTGCAATTACAACTTACCGCATTCCTAGTGTATTCACCAAAACACATGGTGCCACAACGTACATAAAAATGGCAGCGATACGATCGGCAGATGATGTTTTTCTTCTCGATATAGCAGCCATATTATCACCTACAAATATAATAGGATATTGAATGTAATTAAATATATTATTACTATTTTAAGTAAAATTCTGATAAGCAGAATTTTATTTTTTTTTTAATTTAATGTGACACAGTATAGATGGAACTTTTGATAAAAACATGGAAAATTCATCTTACCTTTTGACACAAATACATATATACTGGCTGGTTCTGTGTTGCTCGCAGAGCATGTGTAATTCCCGGAATCAGATATTTGTGGTTCCCTTATTATTAAACGACTTTGAGTACGCGGACCCGGTGTCGTTTCTATTGAAATATCCCGCCTGGAATCATAGTAGTTAATTAATCTCTCGTTCTTTTGCCAAAACACATACTGCGGAGGTGTTGGACTCTGAAAGAAATATAGTTTATAAATAAATTATGATAAAACAAGATACAAGTTTGTTATATTGATTTAATAGAAAAAATGAAATACATTATTCAATATTCCGTTTGAATCGTAGTAAAACTGATTGTGAAATTTACAATTTCTCTTTGCACGACTACCCTTTTTATGGCGGGAATGATTTTTTTTATACAATAAGTTTATTTTTGCAGCAGAGTAATTGGTATATAAAGCGGACTTCCCGGTAGACTTTCGTTGATGTTTTTTTTGTATCGAATGAGAATATATACGGGATTTTTTTTTCAAATAAAAATGTGCTACATGAAGAACATGTCCACAGGTTCCCATGGGTAGCATTAGGAGAATTCATACCGTATACGTCAACATTGTCAACAACGTTACATATTACAGCAAGAATAGAATGCAAACATGATTCGTGGGATGTAATTAATTCTTTAAGCGTCATTCTAACAATTTCGTGTTTTTATGTTTATCTGATAACAAATAAATATGTTCAAAGGGGATAATTATATGTATAATAATCATGACACAATTATACAAGTTTATCAACAAAGAAAAAATACACCTCTACCTTGTGGGCTAACAAATGCAGCAAGTCGTTCTGTTCATTTAACATATTTTTTACTTTTTACCAAAAACGCGAAAATTGAATGGAACGTCAGGTTTTCATTTCTAAATCGAGTCAGGAATGTGATTTAGACATTGATGCATCCACAAATCATAAATTTCTTCTTACCAATGTTGTAAAATTCATCTTTAAACATATGGATTTTAGAATATATATATATATATTTGTATTTTTGAAAACATTACATACACATTCACACTTTTTGTATATGTAGGATTTTTTTATGTAGGATTTTTTTATTCTTAGAACTCATTCCTGAAGTGCAAATAAATAAATACGGTATAAAGCAAAGAAGGGTTTAATGTAATCGTATATTGTTTTTTATTTTTATAATTAAAATCTTTACCAAGAGCAATTATTATTCAATATGTTTTTTTTCTTGTAGACTTGCAAGAATTGTTGATTCACAAACAAAGCTGTAGTCTTTTCTTAGAAAATCTCTACCTTAAATACTAATAAAATCTTTTCACTTTTGCTTACTCGTGTATATTAAAAATACTCATACATAATTCTGTTTTCTTTTTTTTCTTCATAAGTATTTATTTTAGATAATTAAACAAAACAACAAAAACTATGAGAAACTCAAATTGAATGCAATTTCCATATGAAAGAGAACAATCAATTTGCATAATAAGTTTTGCTCTTGGCCCAAACAAAGAATAAAAAGCGAACGGATGGAAACAGAAGTAGTTGCCAGAACCCCAACCAGCAACATCGGATATAATAAAATAATAATAACAGAGTATATATTTTAACCCATTTCTGTCTATACCGCCACTAAGCAAGACTCGTATCTCAACGATTCAACCGTTCTACGCTGGCAGATTGGATGGAGAGAAAGTGGTATGAGAAATATTTGCCAGGTTGGTAGTATAATGAAAAAAAAAATAAACAAAATTGAAGGGGTAAGAGAGGAATATAAGGCGTTACGTTTTTTACTTAGAATTCTGCAAACTTGTACCAATGTTGAAGTAAAATATTGCGGATTCGCAAATCTCACAAACGTACCCTCTTTGATTTTCATGCATAACAATGAGTAAAATGGTAAAACAATGACAGAAGAAACATCCAACAACAACAAAATACCAAATAAATAATAAAAGGAATATGAATCTCAAACTACAGAGGGACGATGAGACCTCGTACCCTCGTATACCAGAGAACGTCCTTTGCATAGTTGTTGACTTCATCAAAGGAAAAAACACTCACAATCATTCACAAAGTTATTACGATAAGCAAAACAAGTTTTATGACATCAGTCCATTGTAAAAGTTGTTCTTTATAAGAGAATCAGATTCACATACATATCTGTAAGAATGATTTCAAACGTTTGCAAAGTACCACAAACTGACACACAATGGAATAATTCAAGGATCAATGCAGCGACTTAAAACTATTTGATTGCACAGCGCGTGTCATTTATGACAAAAATATTTTTGGTTTATTATATTTTTCGAAAAAAAAACGAACGAATAAATAATAGATAAAACAGGTTCCGAAAAAGAGAAAAATCGTTGATAACAAAAAATGATATACATTTTTGAATTCAGGAAGGGGTTCGATCATTTGGCGAGACTCTGAACATATTCACGTAACACTTCACATTTTTGGCCATAAAATAAACTGTTCTACTAGGATTTTAAAATACATGAAGCCCTAAATGTATTTCAAGCGAGAAACCGTTCGGTCCCTGAACTTAAGTTGAACAATGACATTCTAATACTCTAGTTATTTCGTTGGCAGATATGTATCTAATTCCCTGCTCTACATTATATTTCAGAGAGCGAAATTGAGAACTTTGTCAGGGCCTAGCCAAGATTGGTTTGACTCTGCAGGCCGTTGTCCAAAATAAAGTCAACTACAGTTATTATGAACAGTAAATTTGTTAAAAGAGAAAAAATCTGCAAACTTGTTCATTACTGATTAGAATGAATCAAGGGGTCGGTACTACATTGCATCATTTATATCCTCCACAATAAGGTGGAATGCATATATTCAATTTGTCATTCCATTTGCAACACCTCGAAATAATTGTGGGCATATTCAAAATAAGTAGGATTGGCAGTTCATTTGGGGAATCATGATAGAGATCGCAATATTTAATTTAGAGCTTTGAATTATTGCACTGACATTGCTATTACTCCTGGGATTTTTGGTATTGCAAATTGGGCATGTCGCTCAAAGCTTTGGTAGAGCTCTCGTCAATTGGAACCAAAAAGCTGTAATTTTATATTTCAGGTTTTTAGTAAAGAAAATACATCTCCTCAGAATATGTATAACATAGGAGATCCCGCATAGTTTTTGCTATATTAAAGTTCCCATCCTAGTTTTCCAACCTTAGTGCCTGAAATTTGGTATTTAATTTTCATAGGGTATAAATGTAAAGGTAATTGATATAAATGTCCAGACTTTTTAAAGTAATTATGAATGTACACCACATGGGGGAGGGCATAAAAAGTCCGGTCGGGTCGAATTTCGTCACGTCTTTCATTAAAATATTGACAATTAAAAAAATATATCACCAATAAAAATATATATAACATTGATTCTCACTTACCTTTTCAATTATGCAAACTAAATTGATTGTTGATCCCATGTCGACATGTAATTCGCCAGAACCTAAAATAAATGCTTCTGGCACAACCACTTGAAGGTTAACAAAATGCGAAATAATGCCAGTGGGTGTTGAAACCTGCAAATTAATGAGAAGATAATATTTCAATTAACAGATATGTTTCTCCAGTTGTGCGAGATCTGTTTGATTTAATTAGTTTTTACATTATTATATTAATCGACACATTAAAACATTAATGTGGTTATTCCATTTTTTACATAATTATAACAATTTTCTGTGGAATATTTGAAGTACTCTGCATACTCAGAGGTTTTTTTGTTTTTTAAATTAGATCCATAACCCAATGATACTGTAGAGGAGCATGGATAAGTTAAACTAAAGTATTGTTAAACAAGTGAAAAAGCGTTAAGTTCGGCTGGTCCGAACTTTGGATACCCTCCACCATAGATATACTGACAGGTACTTGAAATGAAAATATAGGGAAAATACCAAAATGTGGACTCATACCGACTTTTCTACAAACCGATTATGTAAACCATGATACAAATTTCAGAAATTTTTAATGGATAATTATATCCTCAGCCTTATGGCTAATGAGGGTGTATACATTTTGACATGGTGAAAATTAGCCTCATCGAAATATTGGTTCTAGACCCCATGTTTCTTTGGACCAAATTAGTTTCAGAAAATTTTGATTTCATGCAACGCATTTGGTAGAAAAACGCGCTCAAGAACCCCAAAATTGGGGGTACCCTTATATGGGGGCTATCCGAAAAAATTAACCTATATTCATAATTTTTTGTGGAGAGATTTGGTACCCAATAAGAACTCAAGATACTAAATTACAGCCAATTCGGTAGAAAATGCGATCAAAACCCCCAAAATACTGAAAATTAAGAGGCACCGTTATATGGGGGCTACCAGAAAAAATTGACCTATATTCATAATTTTTTGTGGAGACATTCAGTACCCAATAGGAACCCATTGTACTAAATTGCAGCGAATTCGGATGAAAAACGCGCTCAAGAACCGCAAATGCCTAAACGTCTTCGAACTTGACCTGCCTGCAGACAAAAGACAACCCTATGCGAAATTTCAGCACCCTATCTCAATTCCTTCAGAAGATAGCGTGACTACAACAGACGGACGGACGAACATGGCTAGATCGTCTTAGAATTTTACCCTGATCAAGAATATATTTACTTTAAAGGGTCGGAAATGAATATTTCGATGAGTTACAAACGGAATGACAAAATTAATATACCCTCCATACTATGGTGGAGGGTATAAAAAAGATATTTGAACAATGTATATTCTTTCATTTCCGATTATTTCAGTTCATGTCACAACTAGAAACAATTTCCTCTTAATGACTGTACTTGGAATTCATTTGCAAATTGGAAATGCAAACAAGTTTAGAAAAGAAAAAAGGAAACTATCAGATCTGTCATTGTGTTGATACGAAAATGCTGTATATCCGCAAATTACTCTAAATTCCCTTTAAATAAATTGTTTTTGCTCGATTCTCTTTAGTTTCTACTACAAAAGGCCAGTGTATTTGTGCACACAAACTCTTATCCATTGTAAATTTATTTATTTACTTTTTTGTGCAATACCAAGTGGTCTTGACCTTTTGTACTAACCTACACACATTCGAACATGTGTGTGGTAGGCAATGCTGCCAAAGACGAACACGCACATGACAGTTTATCTTCGAACAGAGAAGACGAAACTATTTCATAAAAGTTTTTAAAGTTAGAATAGTATGACCACAACCCAAGGTAATGTGTATATATATGTTTATATCATTGCTGTGTTCCCTCATTGCTAGTATTGGTTTAAACCATTCTCAATTGATATGCAAATCAATGCGATGAATTACTACTTATCCTTTTTGATGATTTTTATGTTTTTTCTTCATTAACAGGGTATCCCAGACCTATCTCTATTTTATAAGCGACACGTATAAAATAAAGTACTTTATATGGAATAAATATGGCACTTCAAAATATACACCCTATATACATAAGTACACACGGAGTTTTGTAATGTCATCTATTTTCCTCCGAAACGAAACATAGAAGATAATTTCCCTCGGGTTCAAAATATTGTCGACAAGTATATAAACAACCAGGATTGAGGTTTATTAAAAAAACCTAGTTTTGATAAATAAAACAAGTTTAAACTCACCTGACACTCGTACATGCCGTGATCTCGTCGCTGCACAAACTTTATCTGCAGTGTCCACATATTTGATCCCGGCGTATGCAGAATAGCAAAGCGTTCATCGTTTGTGTACAACTGAGCACCCGACGACAGTATATGCCAATCTCGACGACGAATCCAGGATATCTGATTCTAAAGTGTCATTCCAAAAGAACAGGGATATACAAAAGATGGCAATATTAACTTGAACTTTTAGGATAGACACATACAGACACACACACAACACAATGCAACCAAATACAAGAACATAACATATGAAAGTGTGAGAAGAATTTATGGCATATTTAACCAGAGTTTATGTGGTTCATTTTGAAACGTAGTTGAGATAACACGTGTCTTCTATAAAATTTGTATGTGTACAACACGCCCCTTTTGCTTTATATTAGGAAAGTTTATATGAATATATATAATTGTCTGATTGCAATATTTTAATTTCATTTTGTTTATTGCACATGTATTTCAAGGCGATCGACGCCACTAATGAACAGAATTAAAATATACATCATACAGAACTAATTTTACCGTAAAAGGTGAAACTACTCCACGTAGCATAAATAATATTTTTTGGAAATATAATTAAGCAAAATTATATTTATATACAAGATCATTAATTGCAGAGTAGACTACAATTAAAATTTCGAAAACCAGCAATGTTGGAAAAATATAAATTTTTTTCCATACGATGGCTATGCAATGCAAACTTTAATATTTTTTTAATTTTGGTAGAGCTGACGAATTTTTATGTTTCCGATTGTCGAAAATTTCTAAATACCAAAAAAATCATATACTAGTATAAAATGTAGTAAACGGGGTTTTCGAAGTATGTATTACATGTTGGAAATGTATGTCAATGTTTCTGACGGACCATCTCTGCATGGGATATATATATATATATATAACGTTCTTAGCCTTGGTCATTATGGTACTTATAAAGCATGATTCATGGCGTTCTATTTCCGTTCTAGATTCGCTATTCCAATTTAATATGCAGTCAGATTCTTTGAAATTTGAAACGAACTTTAGCAGTTTTACCCTATCCTAACCGTGTATTCCAGATTAGATCAAAATTAACAAATAATTTTACAATAAACTTTAAATATATTCGTACATACATACAACATGTACGTAGATAGATATTATTTTTCGCCATGAAACCACATCACAAACTCAAATGAGAAACAAAAACAACTGTAATCAAAAATATAAAATTTTAGTTTACAACGGGAAAAAAGCGACAAAAATAACAATACCACTTAAATGACAAATAAATGATGCCATAGAGGAGAATACAGTGACAAACATGAAAGACTAAAACATATATATATGTTCCACCTAACTGGAAATTACAAAATTCTTTTAAAATTTCATTAAAAAAATTATATATATATATGAAAAATTTTTTTGCGAGCACATTTATGATTTTTGGTACATAGGTTAAGAAAAATATGCTGATTCGAAATCTGTTCGCGTTCACAAATTCGGATGCTGCGCACAAAAGTTATAGCGGTTTTAAATCTTGTATTTCAAATATAAATTAAATGGATTCCTATTCGTTGTAATTCGCGAATTTCTTCACAAATGCTTAAACACCATTGTTTTCTTTGCATACTAGTCAAATCACACTGAAATACGGTTTAATAGTCGCGAAAAAACAAATAGAAACATGAAGATATCGGAAAATTAAAATAATTAAATTTTGAATTAAAACAATTTTTTTTTTAATTTTCGATTTTTTTAGTATGGTTAAGAGGATACGGTTTTGCCTTAATCTTCTAAAATATACGACGCTTTCTTCTGCAAATTCTTTTAGATGGTTGTTAAATATCGGTAGATTCATCTGATACGAGTTTCGACGTCATTAATGGCCAAATATATTGCACTTACAATACATAAAAATTATCAATATTGAAAAGCTTGCAATTCGCGAATTAGTTGAAATCAGTTGATGCGCATGCGATTTTCGTATAAACCGAATCAATGTCTTTCAATAATTATGAATTTTTCGATGTTTAATATAGCGGTCAAAGTGTGCCACTCGATGCACTTTACTATGCAAAAACCCTAAAAATGGCTAAAAATCACGCAACGTGCATACGATTTTTATGCGCATCCGATTTCAGTAATCTCCTATGAAAATACACAAAAGGACACCTATTTTAAAAAGATCGGTTAAGAACCGCGGATGTGCCTCCACAATCAATTTTGGATAAAGTACGCATATTATTCGCGTATCGATGAATTTTTGACCTATTTCCACACAGATTCGCGAATTTGACAATACAAGCATAAATGCATGTAAAATTAATTCGAAGAAAACCGCGATTATTTACGCGAATTTGTCAAAATAAGTTTTTGCAGTTTTTCCCACATTCAAGGTACCTGTATCCGCCGTTTTATTGGGCGGAATTGAACATGAATGGGCTCATTAGATCCGGCACGTAAAAAAACCAAAATCACGCGGGGTTCCACGGAATTTGAATGGAGTTTGTTAATTTTAGACTCAAAAAATATGTTTTTTATAAAAATTTACGCACCAAATTTTCGTCTTTGGAACCCAATTGCAAATAAGCTACAGTGAGCACATTCATGAGATATACACTAAACGAAGCAGAATCACGAGTTCTACAATCCTATAATTAGTTTATTCTATTATCTGGATGCGCATCCTAATTATAAGAAAAATTAAAAAAACACGGAAAATCCGGCTTCAAAATGTCAGCATCCATTTTGGGTGGATGCAGTGATTACATCGAAAAATCATACATTAGAACCATATTGTCCATGGGGTATTCTGCAACTTAGTCACTGATCACATGTGCGTGCGTTGTGTAGTTTAGCCACAAATCAGGAAGGAACACAAAAAAACTCGTTGGCTTCAACACATTTTCACCCATTTTTTTACATTACCACCATCACAGCTTCCACGCAACTTATTATTTATTACCAATATTTTAAGATTTTGACAAGAACACTTCATTTTATAGAATTGAATTTTAATTATATGCAATATGTTCATATTTCGCGAGTTATAACCTTGCAAACCCCAGCTTCAAGGAATTTAAAAGATTTTTGTAATTTCCCATATATATATATATATATCACACAAAAACATTCGAATCGCTAAAAGAAGAAACAAAACTAAATAAATCCATGACAAAAGTTATGCAACGCTTGGCTGGTTGTGTTGGCAGAACCAAGAGTTTGTTTCACAAATAAAATTTAATGAAATTTAGTTGTGAATTTCTTTTGCATATTTGATTTGTAAAATGGCCGAGCAATAGGAATAAAAAACGCACGGCATATTTATTTGTATTCAAACCATAACCCATTTAGACAATTGAAATTAATAAACTGTAAATAGAGGCATTACCATTAATTAAATTTGTTTCAATCTTAGATGGTCCGACTATAACAGAAATGTGTGAAGTTTTTTTTTTTTTTTAAACACGAATATCAATGAAAAAATTTAATTTGCTTACGATGCCTTTTGGTTAGGATATCAAAGCGGTTCTGTGTCGGCAATCAGAGCAAAGCTACCTATTACAGGTTATAATATTTACAGAAGCTACAGTGATGAGGACTTTATGTGCTTAAAACTGTCTGTCACTTGTACTAGGCACGGACTCTTAAACTTGAGGTGAAAGTATCACAGACAAATTGCAAATAACGCTGTCATAGTTGTCAATATTTTTGAAACCTTTAATATGATTTCACAAAAAAATGAATGACATTTTCATCGAAATGTTATGGATTAAAATCATGAATTCTAAGATTAATTATAGTGACTCCGTATATATCAAAAATCGTATTTTTTATTTTTCTGGGTTATGACGAATATTTGATAAAAATTAGGAAATCCTATAAACATGCTTTGGTTTTAGTCCTGCAATTTGAATTGTAAACATAAAAAAAGTAACCTCTTTAAAATACCCCTTCAACGGCCATTGTAATCAAGGACTTAACATAACAGTTAGTTTAGTTTTCTTTTGTCAATATTTCTTCTTCCGACGTTTCGTACAATTTTTGTGTGATTTCCATTTTTGTTTCGGTTTTGCTTTTGACAGTAACATTACATAATACTTACTTCGCTGTCTTCGAACATTGGACTGTCGCTGGAATCTAAATTGTTGCTATCGAATCTTGAATCGGGATTTATACCTCCTCGCATCCATAATTTCTTCCAATCGCTATCGGTAAGTATTGACTTTTGATCTGTAATTGAAAATAAGACAAGCAGAAAAGTGGTTCGTTATGAAAGGTTGACAGTAACATTCGCCATTATTATCATAACAATAATTATGTTTGCCACGGATGCCAAAGGATGAAGTAAATTGTAATGTCAATTCAAATTCCCATTGAAGGTCATTTCCATAGAAAACGACAGTTTATTTTCTTTGTACATTGCATCATTAAATTGTATAATGCGGATATAAATATTTTCGGAGACAAAAAAATAAGAAAAAAGAAAAATAAAAGCACGGAGAGAGCTCAAGGCAACATTGAAATTTCGTTTGTAACATAATGAGTATGTATGTGTGAATGCAGCTGTCTTAAGTGGAATTCCATACGTTTTTAAGAACCGACAAAGGTTATTTCAAAAGAATTTAAAATCCATTATTGATGTATGTATTCCATTTACAAATTTAATATAACATTTCATGGAATATAAAAAAATATATATTTGTCATATTTTTAATGTGAAATGAAACCATTCATAATGTTAAATGAAGATTTATATAAATAGTAGTAATTTGAAGAAACCCAAAGTTCCAGAATGCAATGATTTCTGTTATTTTAAACCATGCGACCAATAGCGGAGCAGTATAGTCGGACGGGGCCGACCATACGAAACCCTACACAACTACCATGAACTCTAACTTTCTGAGGATATTTATTCCGAGTCTGAGTAATATTTCCTGATATTTGCCCCCTCTTGCCCGATTAGAGGTCAACAACACCTCTTCCTTACTTTTTCGAATATTCAGTACAGTCCTTCTAATTACTTGTCCAGATTAGCTTCACGGTGGGTTGTGTTGCGATTTTCGGATTATACTCGACTCGAAAACACACAAAAAATTAAGTTTTCGGTCCATTTCATCCCAATATTATTATCTGATCATCACCGAAAATTATAGACGTTATCCTTGACCACACCTGGACCCTCGTGGAAAATTTCAAAGCGTTCCGCGCTATATTTCCGCCTCTAGTGTGGTAATGGGTTACTAAATAGTATCTGAATACGTAAGCACCTGTAAATATTTGACTGTAACTCCCACATCCGAGTAGATACATCACTATATTTGGTATCAAGTTAATATGCTATCAACTCCTCGGCTCTAAATCCTCCAGAAGTAAATATGCCATAGAATAAAAATTTTGTCATTTTTCACACAAAAGTCAGGGTCCATTTGACCCGCTAAATATTGACCGATTTTTATCAAAACATGCATGCTTATTCAGCCCCTTCTCCATGCAAAAATTCGCGGTGTTTGGGCCATAATTGCGGCCTCTGGAGCGACCAGAAAAACCGACAAAAATAATGTTTTTGGTCCATTTCATCCCTTAAATATTAATCGATCTTTTCCAAAAACAATAGGGGTCTTCATGCAAAATTTCGTGAAGATTGGTCCATAACTGTGGCCTGTATCGTGTTTACAAATTATAATTGACCTACACAACTATGTTGTCAAACATTTGGGGCTGCACCGACCATGCGACACACATAGGTGTATTATAGCTTTGTGCAGCCCCAAAAGTTTGTAACGCCGCGAAATATTGGTCCTAGACCCACCTTTAAGTATACCGATGGTCATATCTCGACTAGCTGAGTCGATCTTTACATGTGTGTCCGTCCGTCTGTCCGTCTGTCCATTATAATTTATAAACACGATACAGGCCACAGTTATGGAGCAATTTTCACGAAATTTTGCATGTAGGATGGGTTCTGGCCAATGAAGACCCGTATTGTTTTTGGGAAAGATCGGTTAATATTTAGGGGATGGCATGGACCAAATACTAATTTTTTTTTTTCGGTTTTTCTGGTCTCTCCAGAGGCCGTAATAATGGCCCGAACATCGTGAAATTTTGCATGGAGAAGGGAATCGGGCCAAAGAATAAGCATGAATGTTTTGATAAAGATCGGTCAATATTTAGCGGGTCAAATGGACCCTGACTTTTGTGTGAAAAAGTACAACATTTGTATTATATAGCATATATATTTACCACTGAAGGACATAGACCCGAGAAGTTGATATTATATCCAAGAGGAGTGATTGACCTTTAAATTAAGACCAATTATATTGTTGTATGTGCTCGGATGTGGGAGTTACAAATAAATATTTACAGGTATCTTCGGATTCGTATATTATTTAGTAACCCATTATCACTCTAGAGAGCGGAACTATACAATGATCGCTTTGAAATGTTCCATGAGGTTCCGGGTATGGTCAAGAACAACGCCTATCATTTTCGGTGATGATCTGATAATAATTTTGGAATGAAGTGGACCGAAAACATAATTTTTTGTGTTATTTTCGAGTCGATCTAAAATGAAAGCCGAACATCACAATGAAAGCCGAACATCACAATGCAACCCACGGTGAAGGGAATCTGGACAATAACTGTATTGAATACTCGTAATATTCGGAAAATATGTCAGTTTGAGGAAGAGGTGCGGTTTACCTCTAATCGGGCAAGAGGGTGCAAATATGACGAAATATTGTCCAGGTTCGGAATAAACATCCGCAGAAAATTTGAGTTCCGTGGTAGTTGTGTAGGGTATCGTATGGTCGGCCCCGTCCGACTATACTGCTCCGCACACTGTTTTTTTTTGTTGTTGTTAAAAATTATGTACATATAAGAGTTTTTCTCATAATTGATGAACAAATATTATTATTTCCCATATATATAATTTTTATATATTTGTACTTTTAATTACCTATGTAGATCAATATTTGTGGTGCATTTGTACCCATCCAAATTATTGGTTAAAAATCTAATTATGGGGCAGGAACTTTTTGTTGGGGTTAGTGTTTCCAATTTAGCACTTTTTAAACTCGTTTAGCAGCCAAAAAAAAATTAGGACCTAGCACATTTATTAACATTTTCATTTTTTCCTGGAATTAGTTAAAATTTGGGGTAGTATTTCGATTTCAAATTGACACATTAAAGTGTTCCCTTGCTGTGAGTGTGATTTCCCAATGTTAAAAAAGTGTCAGTACATCTGTTTACAAGTAAAAAATCTTAAAGTTCGGCCGGTCACAACAGTTTTTACCATGCGCCATGTGGTGCGTATTAAAATGTTCTCAAGAATGGTCGGGTACTTCATATGATTACTATAACATTGCCTGCTAGTAGATTGTTTATTTGGTAAAATTTAAAAAAAAAAAAAATAATAAGCGGCCTTTGTATGGGAGCGATGAGGAAAAACATAATCCTTAATTAGAAACTTCCTGGAAAGGAGTTTTTTATTCATTGGGAATCCGGAATGCCAAATAATAGCCACTTCGCGTCCCACTTAATAATGGTTTTTCGGCAAAAGATGCATCTACATCGAAAAATGTCTGCAAACATTTTTATACCCTACACAACTATGTTGTCAGGGTATTATAGCTTTGTGCAGCCCCAAAAGTTTGTAACGCCGCGAAATATTGGTCCTAGACCCACCTTTAAGTATACCGATCGTCATATCTCGACTAGCTGAGTCGATCTAAACATGTGTGTCCGTCCGTCCGTCCGTCTGTCCATTATAATTTGTAAACACGATACAGGCCACAGTTATGGACCAATCTTCACGAAATTTTGCATGTAGGATGGGTTCTGGCCAATGAAGACCCCTATTGTTTTTGGGAAAGATCGGTTAATATTTAGGATGAAATGGACCAAATACTAAATTTTTGTCCGTTTTTCTGGTCGCTCCAGAGGCCGCAATAGTGTCCCGAACATCGTGAAATTTTCCATGGAGAAGGGGATCAGACCAAAGAATAAGCATGCCTGTTTTCATAAAGATCGGTCAACATTTAGCGGGACAAATTGACCCTGACTTTTGTGTGAAAAATGATAAAATTTGTATTCTATAGCGTATATATTTACCCCTGAAGGACATAGACCCGAAAAGTTTATATTATATCCAAGAGGAGTGGGTGACCTTTAAATTAATACCAATTATATTGTTGTATGTGCTCCGATGTGGGAGTTACACCTAAATATTTACAGGTATCTCCGTATTCGTATATTATTTAGTAACCCATTATCACTCTACAGAGGGGTACTATAGCGCTGATCGCTTTGAAATGTTCCATGAGGTTTCAGTTATGGTCAAGGACAACGCCTATAATTTTCGGTGATGACCAGATAATAATTTTGGAATAAAGTGGACCGAAAACTTAATTTTTTGTGTTATTTTCGAGTCGATCTATAGACTACAAGTGAAAGCCGAACATCACAACACAACCCACGGTGAAGGGAATCTGGACAATAGCTGTACTGAATACTCGTAATATTCGGAAAATATGTCAGTGTAAGGAAGAGGTGCTGTTTACCTCTAATCGGGTAAGAGGGTGCAAATATCACGAAATATTGCCCAGGCTCGGAATATTTTTTGTGATCAAAGAAAAGTCCTTATTTTTGATGGCGGGCATGATAACTCCTCACTGGAACATCGGAATCCGAAAATTCCAACGGTGTTAGAAAGAGTACATGTTTGGCTCTCGTATGAACTAGGATTATTGACTTCGCACAAGAAGTATTTTTGGAAAATCGCCTATTTTTTACCACAAACTAAGTTAAAAAATATGGAAGTTCTTCACCGATTAGCTTTATCCCAGTTCATACGAGAGCTATACACTCGCAGAGAAACTGTAAAAATTTGGAACCGATTGGATTATTAGTTTTTGAGTTATCGTGCCCGCCATTCGCAAAAAAGAAAAACGCGTTTAAAGTTTGAGAAACCCTTTAGCAGTCACTTGATGCTGACACAATAAATCTATATCTCCAAGAGTTCTTGAGATTTTCACTTGCAATTTTGTAGGGACATTCTTGAATTACTGTAGAGTCGAATAAAATCAAAAAAAATTTTTTTGGGCACATTTTTTACGCGACTTGGATCTAATTGGGTGCCAAATCTTCATATCAAAAATGTCTATGGCATAGCACGCCATTTATAAATGCCCCCCTCATAGTGAAGGGTATAAAATGTTCGAAACGGCGTTCAA